GTATAAATTCTAATGACGATTCTCTTGGTAAGTGCCGTTGTACTGTTTATATTGTTTTCGCCAAAAAACCTAGTTATTTTACTCAGTTCAACGGCGGTAAATTTTGCGGCATTGCAGTGTGGCATTGTATTAATGGTTTCATTGACGAGTGGATCTTTGTGTTGCGGTCTGCATAAGAAAAAACACCCCGCCCTGTATAAGGATCAATAAGATGTTTCACCCTGTCGGGTCGGGGAGAAGAAAACGTAGGATACTGACTGAGACTGCTTCTGTAGTTTTAACCAAATAGAACCGTTTACAGGAGATATCAGACTTATGAGTAATGGTCCAGAAGAACTTTACGAGACAATTATGAGGCTAAATGTGTATGTCGACATCAATGTTTTACTGATCTTCGTTTCTTTCTCCTAGTTATTCTTTTTGAGTTGAACATGCTTTACAGAAGAACGGCAAGTATTATTTTCTTACCTACATTTTTGGATGGGCGTTAAACAGTTTGTGCGACTGGAAGTTTCTGCGTGAAATGTAATATTTTGAAGAGAAACTTCCAATCAAACAAGTCTGGTTGCTTTGACTTTGACAATGAGATCAAATCGTGGCCAGTCTTTGTGCCACTTTGCTTTCACTACATGTATACCATTCTACTTTAAACCTGAATTTGCTCAGTAGTTTTGGTTTTCCTCAGGTTTGTCGTTCACTCACAGGGCGACACGTTTTTAACGTCATAATTCCAATATACTTGCCGAAAACTAAAGGAGAGAAAATTAGGAAAGAAAACATCTGGTGTTTCAATCAGGTTTATTATAAAATAGCAGCAGCACGTGAACGATACTCTTCCAACGTAGAAATTAATAACAGATCTGAAGGGAATAAACTACGCAAAACAAAGCAGTAGAAGAATTCTATGATGGGCTACTGTAGAAAAGACTTGCAACGATCTACTGTTCTTTCAAAAGTAGTCCGTTAATATTCCCTAGCCTTTTACAGCCAATCATATTCTGTCCTTTATTCTGGGGAGCTTTGGGTCATTCTCGTTGACTTTCACAAATAAGGTTCAAGTTATCGAAGGTAAACTTATAAAGAAAATGACCTGAAGAGAAAAACAATTACGTCGACTTAGCCAGAAGTTCGAGTTACCCAGGGTAAAATTACCGTTAATTTTTAGAAACATTTCCAAGGAAACCCAATTTTGATTCTAGCTAGTGCGAGATTCGCGTTACCGCGGTTCGAGTTGTCGG